ATATTTAGGTGCAGCAAAAACACGTTTTGACTCGTTGAACTCTAGAAGGAGGAGAGTTCACCTTCAGCCATGAAGCCAGTCCTCCCACTTTACATTTAACCAGCTGAATATGGACTTTTGCTTTAAATGATGAACACACTGGGTTTATAGAGCTCACACTGCTGAAATGTGTGCACTGGTGTATCCACAGCTTTGAGGACAAAGATGTTAGGGTCTCGGTGAATGCAGTCGCTAACAGCAGCATTAAGATGGTTTAAAGAAAAGAAATCCTCTCATGCCTCAGATATTAACTCAAATATAGCAGGAGCATTTCACAGACTGAATGAGACGGGCGACACAAGCAACAGCTTCACTTTTACTTACAACATGAAAATAGGTTTTAAAACTACAAACAGTTGATTTCATATAAACTCCACAGTCATTAAAAACTGTACAAAATGAGAACAAAAGAACAAAACATTAAAAAAAGTTTTTAAAAGAGTGAAGTAAGACATGAGGGGAGTCAGGAACACCTGCAGAAACAGACGCTTTAATCAGCCACGTCCCACATTCAAGCGTCTTGTTCCTGATAACAGACTCGTCTACAGGCTTAATTATAATAACACTGATTTCCAATCCCAAACCAAGTAAAACCCAGGGTGGTATCAACGACACTGAGCCGATACTCTGTACAAATGTTTCCTTGTATTTCATAATACAATATATAATTGTATTATGAAATTGTAGTAATAATATAAGGATATAGCTTCATAATGATTACAGGACATCAGAATACTTGTTCTTACTGCTTAATAATGCAGAATAATCATCCATCCATCCATTCGCTTCCACTTATCCTTTAGGTTATTGTTAAAATTTCCATAACAAAACCTGAAGCTGTGTGCTATTTGAACACGTTGCCTGCCTGCAGCACTAAAGGACTCAGAGACGTCTGTCTCGCCCTGCAGCACCTGTCCCCCTCCTCCTCTTCAGTCTCAACATACGCTCGTCATATTCTGTGATATGATTTACTCTGAGGTGTTTGACGAGGTTAGTGGTGTTGCCACAACTCCTCACTGTCTTGCCACATGTATCGCAAACCACATCTTGGCTGTTTGTGGAGGTAAAATACGTCCACACATGTTTACGCTCAGCCATTGTTGTGAGTGCGCACACCAGGGGCTGCAACACATTTATACAGCCGTGTTTCACACATGACTATGAAAGCCGAAGGGGGAGGTAGTTTCTTCCAATTTAGACGATTTGAATGACAATAGTTTCTTTCCACTGTGTTCCTGTTAATGAAACACTGCAAATTTACCCCAAAGTACTAAAATATCGATATTTTAATATGAGAATTGATTCTAGAACATAAATTACTGGAATCGGAAGAATCGACGTTTCAGTATCGATCCGCACATCACTAACGTGCAGCTTCAGACAGATAATAAATCATATTTAAATAACTAAAACCAAAACAATGTCAGTGTTCAACATTTATTCAATATCAAATTCTGATGTTTCAACATTAAAAGGTGCAAAACTGACGTTAATGTCAGATTTCAACGTTAATTCAATAGAATTGCCTGATATTCATGTAACATCGTTTTAATGGATATTTGCTATAAAATGTTTGTCTTACCTATGAAATCATTTTCAACTGAATTTTTCCACACAGGAGTGCCATGGTAACACTTCCTGTCAGGATTTAGACCTCAGACTGCCTGATGATTAAGGCCTGTGTCATTAACACACACACA